AGAGACGCTTGCGGTTGCGCCGCCCGCTCCGGAGGCCGCATTCAGCCAGGAGGGGACCGCGGGAGTGCCCCCCGTGGCGGCTCTCGGAGAGGGCCTGGTGTGTCTGCGCAGTGGCCTGCGCGCTGCCTTGGGAGGGGGAGAGGGCGAGAGCGGCGGCATGCTGGAGGGCGGCGGCGGCGGCGAGGGAGGCGGCGGCGAGGGCGGCGGCGGCGAGGGCGGTGGCGGCGAGGGCGGCGGTGAGGGCGGGGGGGGGGGGGGTAGCGTAGGAGGGCGGCGGGCTCGACGGCGACGGCAAGAGCACGGGCGGCGAGGGCGGCGGCAACGGCAAGAGCACTGTAGCTAGCTCAGCCATCCTTAGGTAAGATGGCTGTGTAGGAGCCAGCACAGCCATCCTGGTGTTACATTTTGAGGTTAGCCCTGACTGAGACGGACTGCCCCTCGCATTACAGAAGACACATTTTCATGCGGCTACATTTCATTATAGCTTGCGACGACGCTCTGGCCTCTGCGCGCTGTGTGAAGTCCACCACTTACCAAGTCCACTTACCAGAAGTCGTTAGAGAGAGCTCGAGAGAGAGCCCTTCGACCTTCGTGCGTCGCAGCGGGGGAGAGCCGCTGCGCGCCGGGAGACCAGCACCAGGGCGCGTGCGCGCGTCGGCGATCTTGGCGGCGGTTCGCTCTCGCCGGTAATCGAGAAACAAAAATAAAAAACAATCATGCACCCTCCGCCCCGGGGTGTGTGCACGCTGGCCGTGGGGCGGCGGCGGCGGACCCAGCGGTAGCGGCGGGGTGGGGCGCACCTACTAGCGACCCCCTGCCTCCTCCGCGTTGGGGCTGCTACCCTACTAGGGCTCCGGACTGCTGCTGTGGCTGGCTGGGTTGCTGCTGTTGCTGCTTGGCTCGTAATGCTGATGCTGATGATAGTGATGATAGTGTTCGACATGCTGGTGAGGATAACGGCAATGATGTTCAACATGCTGGTGGATTATGTCGGATCGGGCCGCTGACGAGGACCGCCTCCCCCCCTCCTCCAGACCCCCGATGTGAGGTAAGGTAAGGTAAACCTCTTTCTCCGCTGGTCACACGAAGCGACGGACGGCGGAGGGCGGACGGGCGCCAACCATGGGCAACTACATGCCGGAGGTTCAACGACGACTACTCGCCGCCTGGGTCGCTTGGGGCGCGCGGCTCCGTCGAGGACCGGGCGCGCCCCTTGCCCGGCGCGGCGTGGGTCCCACTCTGACGTAAAGAGGGGAGGCACGGACGATGGCCCGATCCATCAACTACATTCATCTTCTGGCTGATAACTGCACTCCAAGTGCTCCAAGATGATAATGGTGATGATGCTCGACATGCTGGGGGTGCTACTGGTGACGATAACATAGTACTGGTGCTGGATCGTCGCTGCTGCTTACGTTGACATGCCTGTGGGGAGGGGGCGGCCGGGCACTGCTGTCGGCTCGGTGACTGCCACCCTCCCCCCCACCGGACGGGGTGGGGCTACGAGTACGAATACGACAATGGACGGGGGGGCCGCTCCCCTCCCCTAGCCGACACGTCCAAATGCAGCGTTGAGCACGCTATACAAATGTTCAATGTATCGCCTACGGTGGCTACGGCTGCAAGTGGCGCCAGAGGACAAACCCGAGGGTCGGGCCGCAGTGGGTGGCACGATCGGGTCATCTCCACCGTCGTGGAGAATGCCTACCCTCGCCTCTGGCAATGCTGCGACACCGGAATTTCGGTAAACGCCCTTAGAGACCCAGCACCCCGAGGGTGCACGTCACCATCGTTGTGCCCTCGGGGGTGACAGCACTTTGCGCTGGGGATTGGTGCTATGCCGAGGGAAGCTGCGCGGCCTGACCCACTAGAGTGGATAGGGCAGCACGTTGGAGGCGCTCCACCATCGGATGGGGGGCGGGGAGATCGGGCGGAGAAGCCCTGAGTGGCGATGTCGGGTGAGAGTGTACGTCATGCTCGTGTCTAGTGTCTGGTGTTTACTAGCTCCGAGTAGAGGGGGCGTTCCGCCGCTAGGGGACACCCAAAGCGCAGAACCAACCCTCGGAGACCCGTGTTTACTTTAAGGCCCTTGCCCTGCGAACGCGCACCCCCGGGGCTAGGGCTCTCTTGCCCGCAACCCGATCCCGATCATCCGGCCCGCTGGATGCGCTTCTCAGCTCACCGGCCCTGGATGTGAGGCTAATGACTGCACTCCAAGTGCTCCAAATCACCGAGCGCCACACTCCACGGCAGTCGGCACGCACCGCGCTCTTTTACAACTCTACTCTCTAGCTTTAGGTTTAGCTAGAGCGCGGCCTCGGCCCTCTCGGTCTCGCTCGGCGACGAGTCGCGGCCGGACGTATAGGAGCTCTAGACGAGCGCGACGCCGACGGCAGTCGGCACTCATTCCCTCACGCCTGCTCTACTCCACCCCACACACGCTTCCCTTTCTCCAACTAGCTGCCCCCACCATCGGGTTGCCGACGCACGCGAGCGCGCCGGGGGCCACCCCGCCCGCACACGTCAACCAAACTTTTTCCGCTCATGCGCACGCATCCCCGCCCGCCGCGCCTTTTGGCTCTCCTCGGCGCGCCGCGCCTCTGCGCGCAGCTCCGAGAAGATCGCGTTGGCGATCTCCTCGGACACGCCCCAGATCGAAGCCATCTGCTTTGCCGACAGCTTCATCAGCCCGCGCCCGTCGAGCGAGGGCGACACGACGGGCAGCAGCGGGGCGAAGGCGCCGCTGCACGCCCGCGCGAGCCAGCCGCGCACGGCGGCCACGTCGTAGGTCTTTGGCGACGGCCGGACCGGCTCGAGGGGCGGGCCGACGGACTTGACCGCCTGCCTCGTCTCTCGCGTGACTCCGCTCTCGGCGCCGATCTGGCAGACGACGCGCAGGGTGGCGAGCGAGTGCTCCGCGTCCGTCGAGGCGGGCGAGACGGTGCCGATGACCGCCATCCGCGTGTCTGAGCGCGTGAACGAGTTTGCGAGCACGCGCGTGAGCGCCGACTGGCGGAAGGGGATGTGGACCTGCTGCCGCCCCGCCTCGGTCGCCACCCACTGGCGCATGCACTCCTGCAGCACGTGCAGCGACGCGTTGATCTCCGCCCCCTCCTTGCGCCGGTCCGAGTTGTGCGTCGCTGAGTCCTCCTTCCTCTCCGAGCCCGCGCAGTCGACAAGGGTGAGCACCGCCGCCGGAGGGCGCCGCTTGCCCGCGCACGGCCCGTCCGCGGCCGACGAGCAGAGCTCGATCGTGCAGACGGCGTGGGAGCGAGACGAGACGGCGTTGGCTCCGGTCGCGTGTGTCGCGCGGCGCGACTTTGCGGTGGCGAGCGCGGCGAGCAGCTCGCTCGAGGAGGTGAAATCGGCGGAGGAGAGCCTGCGGGGCGGCGGCCGGAGGGTCGGGCGTACCGCGCGCGGCGCGGCCCTCGCCCGCTCGAGGACCCGAGCGGCGAGGGTTGGTAGTGAGGGTTGCGTCGCCAGACTACATACTACGTGCAAGCCGCTTCACTACTGCGGACCCCAACACACACTACTGCGGACCCCAACACGTGCGTCACGCCGCTCGCGTCGTTGGCGAGCATCAGCTCCTTGCCGCGCTCGACGAGCAAGTCGACGCACCGATCGCCGCGCACCTGCGCGCGCGAGAGAGAGAGAGAGAGCTCAAGAGGGCCGCCACCGCACGCCTCGCGGGCCTCGGCCCTCTGCGCCTCAAAGTACTGCAGCCGCGCGCTTGCGGCGGCGCATCCCGCCGGCAGCAGCGTGGCGGCGGCGACTTGCTCGATGCCCGCCATCGTGTGCGTCTTGCCGGAGCCGGTCTGGCCGTACATGAAGGCGGTCGAGGCGCCGCCCGCCGCGACGTGCTCGAGCAGCGGCACGATGGCGGAGGCGCAGAGCTCGCCGTTGGTGGACGACTCTCCGAGGGCGAGGCCGACGCCTGCTCCGAGCCGGGCGTGCTGGGGTGGAGCTGCGGGTGGAGCTGCGGGGCGGTGCGGTGCGCGGGAGGCGCGGTGCGCGCGGGTGGCGCGTGCGCGTGTGCGCGGCGCGATGCGGTGCGGTGCGGTGCGGTGTGGTCGGTGCGGTGCGGTGCGGTGCGGTGCGGTGCGGTGCGGTGCGGTGCGGTGCGGTGCGGTGCGGTGCGGTGCGGTGCGGTGCGGTGCGGTGCGGTGCGGTGCGGAGGGCGCCAAACTCGTGGTGCCGCATGAACATGCCCTTGAGGTCGGGCGCCATGTGGCACACGTGGACCGCCGCCACGCCGGGCGACATGGACAGCGCGTCGAACTCGCCGCGCGCCGCCTCGTGCTCACAGAGAGGAGATTACACGAGATTACACGAGATTGCCCGAGATTACAGGAGATTACACGCCTCGTGCTCGAAGAGAGGCCGCTTGCGCGCGACGACGAGCACGCGCCGCTTCTCCGCGGCCGAGCCCTGCTGCTGCCCGCCGCACGCCCCCTCGGCGGCGAGGGAGCGGCGGACAGCGTCCTCGGCGGACGCCTCGCGCGCGAGCGGCAGCGGGCCGGAGCCGCGCGCCTCTCTCCGCGCGGGGACGGACGAGGAGGGGAGGGAGGAGAGGGGGGCGCGCGCGGCGCGCTCCTGCAGCTCAGCGCGCCACTCCGCGATGGCCGCGACAAAGGACTCCCGATTGTTGCGCCGGCACTGCCGCTTGTCGATCATCTGCCGCGTGACCGGATCGTCCGAGTCCGCAGCCTCCGGCGGCGGCGGCGGCGGCGGCGCGCTCACCCGCAAGCCAGGGCTGCAGCCCGGCCCCGCCGTCTCTGGCCGGCGGGGGCGGGCCGGCGAGCGGGGGCGGGCCGGCGACAAGGCGCGCCGGACCGGCAACGACGTGTCGGAGGGCGAGCGAGCGAGCGGCGGCCTGCCGCCGCCGAAGGAGGGTCGGGCGGCGCCGGCTCCGCGCGGCGCCTAATCTCACGCGGCGGGTGTGTATCGCCCACCGCCCCGCTCCCGCGCCCACCGACCTTTCCGCACCAGTCCCGACGAGCTCGTCGACTTGCGGAGCGACTGAGCCGGCGGATTGCCCTCCCACCGGCTGCCCTCCCACCGCCCCCCCCTCGCAGACAAGGGAGGAGACGCCCTCCCCGACGGCCGCCGGGCGGAGTGCGGCCGGATGGCGCTAGGAGCCGAGGGCGGAGGCGGGTCGAGACGCCGGCCCTCTCTCGAAGTGCTCGGAGGGGGCGCGACCTCCCGCACTCTCGCCGCCAATCCGCTCGATGCGCCGCTCGCCGTCGCCGCGGCGGTCGGCTCCGGCGCCGAGCAGTGCGGCAGCGGGGTGGGAGCGGCCGCTGGGGGGCGGTCCCGGACACGCAGCTCGAGCGACCTACTCCCGGCTTGAGGCTGTCAGAGGGAGGGTGTGTTTGCCGCGAGGCCGGCGCAGGCAAGCAAGGCAGACCGCATCAGGTCCTCGGCCGTCGGGGCGGCCGGGGCGGCCGGTACCACGCCCGCAGCCGAAGCGAGAGGTTGCGACTGCGGTGGCGGCGGCGGTGGCGGCGGCGGCGGGGGCGGGGGCGGCGGCGAGTGCTGCAGCTGCTTAGGTTGCGCGGGCTCGAGAGACGCGGGATCGGACTCAGCGCCGCACGGCAGCGGCTCTCCCTCGAGCAGCGTCGAGCTGGAGGGGAGCGAGGAGAGGCGGCCGACCTCGGGCTCCCCGAGCGGCCGGCCTGCCGACGACCGGTCCGAAGGAGGGTCCGAAGGAGGGTCCGAAGGAGGGTCCGAAGGAGGGTCCGAAGGAGGGTCCGAAGAGCGGCGTGAAGGAAGGCCCAAGGACGGCGGCGACGGCTGGTTGGGGAGCAAATCGGAGGAGGCCTCTGCTGAGGGCGGGTGGCGTGCACTCTCTGAGGGAGGCAGCGGAGGCGGCGGCGGATGCGGCGACGGCGGCGGATGCGGAGGCGGCGGCGGAGGCGCCGTTCGCGCTGCGGCAGACTGGGAACGCGTTCGCATCCGACCGGGCGTGGGAGGCGGTCGCGGCGGCGGCGGCGGCGGCGGCGGCGGCGGCGGCGGCGGCGGCGGCGGCGGCGCAAATGGCGCTGCGATCGCAGGTGCACCCTCGCCGGCGCACTCCTGCGTTTGCGGCTGTGCTCGCCCCTCTCTCTTCAGCCCGTCTCTCTTCAGCCCGTCTCTCTTCAGCCCGTCTCTCTTCAGCCCCTCGCGCGAGGGCATCGCCGACTTGGACGAGGGCGGCGGAGGCGCGGAGGGCGGCGGAGGCACGCCGAGGGGAGGGGAGCGCTCGCCCGCGACGGGCAGGACGAGGGTGCGAGACGCCTAGAGGTGGGAGGAGGGAGGTCGGGAGGGGAGCGAGTTGCGCCGCCCGCCCCCCGGCCGGCGACTGCCGCTCCCGAAAAGGACCAGCGCTTGCGCGGCCGACTCGCGCCTACTCGGCGGCGGAGAGGGGTGGAGCAAGGCGTGGGGGGAGAGACACGGGCGGCCGAGAGCAAGCTTCTGCCGGCGTCGAGCCGAGGCGTCAGCACTGCCTGCGGTGCCTGCGGTGCGGCGGCGGCTGCCTCGCCGACAGCGCTGCCTTTGTTGCGTGCTGCCGGCGCACCGCTCTCCCCCGTCTGCGCCTCTGGTGGCCTTTCGCCCGCGGGAGGAGGCGCCTCCTCGCGCGGCGGCGGCTCCTCCCGCGCCTCTGGCTCCCGCTTGCGCACGGTCGGCGGCGCCTCCTCCTCCTCCTCCTCCTCCCTCCCCTCCTCCTTCCCCACACCCTCTCCCTGGGCCTCAGAGAAACAGGGGCGCGGCGTTGGCGGATCGGCAGGACCCAACACCTCGTGCAGAAGGACCCCTCCAGCTCCAGCCGGCTTGGGGGCCTCCTCGGCGGGAGGCTGCGGCGAGACCGCCGCTGCCGCCACTGCAGAGTCTCCCACACAACCAGGCTGCTGGCCGCGCCACCCGGGACGGGGAGGGTGCGCGGCGTCGGCGCTCCCGCACGAGGCAGCTGGTGCGGCTGCGGCCCTGAGTCGGGCGGTGCGCAGCTTCCGGAGCGTCGGAGGTTCCTGCTCAGGTGCGGGCGAGAGGCGCGGCACAGCGATGCTCGCCTCGGCGGCCGCGACCGCGCGCGCCTCCGCATCTGCAGCAGCGCTCCGCTCGGCGGCCTCGCGTGTACGCTGCTCCCTGCAGAGCGGAGGGAGAGGGAGTCAAGGATACGATTGGACGGGGCGGCGGCGGGGCCCCAGACCTGATCTCCACCGCCCGGCGCTTTTGCTCTGTGCGCTTGCGGGCCCACTCGGAGGCCAGGAAGGACTTGCTAGCGGCCGTGCGCGCTGCCTTGCCCGAAGGGATGGCTTGGCTGACGGCGGGGATGGTTGTACCACCAGAGGAGGCGCGGCTCGACGACCGGCCTGACGACATCGGCAACGAGCAACGACTCCTCTCAACGATATGAACGCGCGCGCACATTGAAGAATTTTGCGCGGCACAGGGGTGGTGGGACGGCTGTGGAGCGAAGTGGCCGTAGCCAGCCTCAAACACCCATGGGATAAGATGAGATTACCAGACGAGAATGGGGGGAAGGACAGGCGAGCGACATTTGACGACGTCGGGGATCACAATGTGACGACCAAAACGATCTTAGGGGCCAGGCAGGGTGAGACAACAGGTCGGGGTGCCACACGGGGCGCACCACAGGCGTATTCTAGGGGGGGGGACGAAACGGGGAATGAGGGGCCCCGCCACGAGAAGTGCGTTCTGGGGATGCAGAGCGTGCAAGGCGGCTAGGGATGAGGCCACAAAAGAGGCGCGCGAGGCGAGGAGGAGAATCGGAGAACGGAGACGAGACTGGGACGACTGGACACGAGAAGACAGTGAGCCACCACAGGCGTCGTTGGCGCACATACTGAGCGGCAGCTGCGCTGGGAACAAGGAGGAGGCGCGCCTCTTTATGCGGAAGCTTGACAAACACACAGCGAGGGCGACAGCAAGAGTCGAACGGGAGGCGCCTGACTCAAAAGACACCGCCACATTCCTGAGACGCGCGAGGGCAGCCTCCTTAAAGGCGAAAGGGTCTAGATTTGGAGCGCTCGCCGAAGAGGAGTACGACAAAATAGCGCCCGTGATTGCCTGCACACTGCCCGCACACTCACGGACTCCATACCCGAAAAAGAAAGAGAGGGGAGCTCGCAGGAGAGGTGACGAGAGAACTACAGGTAGTGGGGAAGGCAGCCTCGATCGCCATACTGATATGGATGCGAAACAACGACAAGACCAAGGCAAGGGCAGAGGAGAGAGAGAAGAATATAGGGTGGATAAAGCGCCCGTTCACGGCATGGAGGGTGAGCCACGCTGAACGTGCTGAACGTAGAGCCGAACGGGAGGAAGCCGGGGAAGACGACTCTGAGGAGGACGAGCCAGTGGAAATCCCGCCGTCAGCTGTCACGATGCACCCGAAGGGGACCCCAGCGCCAGCATCAGCCGTGGGGTACAAGTGTCCGAAGAGAGAGTGGACCTGAGCAACGACATGACCTGGCGGCAAATGGTCGCAGTGGGCGTCAGAAGAGTCGTCCTTGCGCGAGGAGAGCTCGATAAACTCGAGGGGCCAGGATATGCTGCGAGGAGGGCAGAGTTGCGCCGAGAGGCGAGGGCAAGGGATCGGCAGGCAGCGGCGTCGTCGCAGAACGAGGCAGAGGAGAGCGACGCGACAGAGGAGGAAGTGACAAGGGAGAGAACGACGAGAGTGGGACGACCGCGAGGTGGCATGAAGGTTGCAGCGAGAATCGGCGAGAGACTGCGAAGAGAGATAGGAAGAGGCAGACTCCCTAGGGTGGGCGACGGCTAGCGCATCACACACACCTCCTTAAAATCCCTGTGTGGTGGCGGCGTGCCGTCCTCCCATCCCTCCCTTTTGGGTTGTCTGTTTTCTTTCTTTCTTCAGAGATAGGAAGAGGTAGACGCCCGAGGGTGGGCGAAGGCTAGCACCGCACTTCTCTCCTTAAAATCCCTGTGTGTGGTGGCGGCGTGCCGTCCTCCCATCCGCATCCCTCCCTTCACTGGGTTGTCTGTTTTGACAATCTTTTGCAGAGAGATTTTTGAAGGATGAAGCAGAATCTGTTTTCTTTCTTTTCACTTTTGTTAGCGCAAGTCCAAGTGCTCCAAGTGAAAATCGGGGACCTTCAGGTGCAAAGAATTCCGCCAACAGCGGAGCATATCTTCTACTCTCACTCTCCACAGACAGACACGAGACAGACTGGAGCCAGCTGTGTCACGAGCAGTCAGGAGAAACATCGAGAGAGTGAATTGAAACTCGAGAATTGAAACGGCACGATCGCGAAATAAACACGCCCCACTGCGCCCCGGAGTCAGGTCTCCTCCCACCCGGCCGCCCGCTGCACCGCCACGGGTGGGATCTCGCCCACCGCCGGGAAGTACGCCCGCCGCCCGCCCTCTGCCTCTGGCGAGCCTCCCTCCGCGGGCCACGCAAAGGCGGCCGGCTGCGTGACGGGCACAAAGGGCAGCCACGGCCGCGGGTCGAGCGGGCTAGCCTGCGGCGTGGCTGCCCTCGCCGCGGCGCACGCGGCCGCCCTCGCCTCGCGGTGTCCGCCGCGGAAGCGGCCGAGGTGGGGCGAGCCGCTCAGGGTGCACACGAGTGGTTCTCCGCGCTGCAGCGCCTCCGCCATTGCCTCCCCCTCGACGAGAGGCACCATCACCGCTGGCACGCCCGGCGGCGCCTCTCTCTGTGCGGCCGGACCCCACCCCATCGTGTGCACGGCGGGCACGGGCTTGTTGTTGACCACGACCACCGCCACCGCGCCGGCCGCCTCGGCGCGCCGCACCTTGCCGGAAGCAGGTCGACGTGACGCTACGCTGTCTGATCATGTCGTGCAGACCTCATCTCCCTGGTCTCGCGTCACCTTGTCGACAAAGTCAACGTGCAAGCAGCGGCGCAACAGCACGACGGCGCCGTCGCAGGCGGCGAGAGGCGAGTCTGCGGTGGGAGGGTCGCCCAGTACGAGCGGGGCGCGCCTACGCGTGCGGAGGCGCGGCGGTGAGGCGGCCGCGCAGACCCCTGCCCCTCCCGCCGAGCCGAGGGCGACAGCGGCGACGAGGCCGGCGGCAGCGCGAAGCAAAAGGCGGCGGCGGCGCTCTTGACTGTCCCGCTGACGAGGCCGGGCGGCGGGGGGGCCTCCTTGGCGGCGTCGGTGGCATCGGCGGCGGTGTCGGTGGCGCCGGCGCCGGCAGCACCGCCCGCGCGTTGCTGCTGCGTCGCTGTCCGCTCGACCGAGAGGAGGGACGTCTCCGTGGGAGTCGAGTCGGTGACGTCGAAGTGGAGGTGAGGGCCGGAGGAGAAGCCCGTGTTGCCGGACGCCGCAATTGGCTGCCCCACCGAGACCGCGGCCCCGACGCTCGTGCGGAGGGAGCCCTGCTTCAGGTGAAAGTAGCGCGAGTACAGCCCGTCCGCATGCCTCAGCACGACGTGGTTGGCGAGCGGTCGGTACTCAGGCTTCGGCGCGCCGGCTCGAAAGACGTCGCACGCCTCCACCACGACGCCGGCACGTGCCGCGAGCACTGGCGTGCCCACGGCGAGGGCCCAGTCGTACGCATAGCTCAGCTCGTCGCGGTGCGTCGAGGCTCCGTCGACGCCCTGCACGAGCATGCCTTCGGGCGGCCGGCCCGCGCGAGCGAGAGCGCGGCAGCAGCGTGGCACGCGAGACGGCTTGGGCGAGGGGAGCCGGAACGGCAGCCGCCACAGAATAGAGACTGGCTTCTCAGAGAGCGAAGTCTCGGCCTGCCTGCCTCTGCACATCGCTGAGACCTCCCTTCGCGGGTCGGAGCAAGGCTGTCTCGGGATCGACGCCGGCCGTAAGGAAACTAAAAAAGAAATCCGGGCGCTAACCCAACTCGAGTGATGGTTGGTGGTACTCTCCTGCAACCACAGTCCTTCTTGTGACATGGCAGGCCACTCTCAAGCCCTACAAGCATCAGATCACTCATTTGGGGAGGTTGACATCGTGATTTCCGTGGAAAATTTCTTTTTGAAAATTCCAGCTTGAAGAGAGGGGAAACCACGGCGAGCGAGCACCCTACCTACCCCGGCATGATAACCCGGCCAAGACACACACACACCCCCAGGCCTCGACTGGCCGTACGATGCCGTCTCGCTTACCGACGGACGTCTCCTCCCTCGCAAAGTTCATCGTGTCGCCCGAGTGCCGCTCGATCGCCATCCTCACGGGCGCGGGCGTCAGCGTCGCGGCCGGCATCCCCGACTTTCGCAGCCCGGGTGGCATGTACGACACACTGCGGCCAGAGCTCATCACAGCGACCGCGGCCCAGCGCCGTGCGATGGCAGCGGACCCGACCGCTGTCGTGCTGAAGGACATGTTCTTTGCCAACGCATTCCCGTATCTCGAGGTTCGCCGGCCATTCATCCTGGGCACGAGGGAGCGGCGATGGCGCGCGACGCTCAGCCACCGCTTTGCCGAGCTGCTCCACGCAAAGACGGGAAAGCTGACGCGGCTGTACACGCAGAACATTGACGGGCTCGACTACCAGACGGCCCTGCCGACCGAGAAGATTGTCGCCGTCCACGGCTCCATAGGCAAGGTGGCGTGCGAGGGCTGTGGCGCGCCGATGGAGTTCGACGCCTTCTGCGCAGAGGTGCGGGCCCGCATAAAGGACCTGTACGGCGTCGATTCGGCGGCCCCGGCCGAGTCGACGCCCATCCCGTGCCCAGCCTGCCACCGCCCTCTCGTCAAGCCAACGACTGTGCTCTTCGGCTCGAGCCTGCCGGCTGAGTTCTTCGAGCGGAGCGCGGAGGACCTTCCATCGGTGGACCTGCTCCTCGTCGCCGGCACCTCGCTTGTCGTCTCGCCGGCCAACTCGCTCGTGTACTGCGTGCCGGACAGCGCGGTCCGAGCCGTCATCAACGCCGAGCCCGTCGGGCAGGAGCTTGGCATCCGCTACTCGCCCGGCGGGCGAGACCTCTTCTTGGGAGGTGAGTGCGACGACACCTTCCTCGCGCTGATGGTGCAGCTCGGCTGGGCGGACGACCTCGCTCGGCTCGATGCCGAGCTTCCCGCGGCGAGCCAGAAGCGGCTGCGCGCACTCCTGGCGGCCGGCGTGGGAGACGACGACTTCACCACCGTCTAAGCTCTAGCTACAACATTTTGCATGTGTATTGTGGTTTATAAAGCCCCCCCGTGCCGATGTAGTTGTTTGACGACATAATATGCTGACTTGCTGACCGATGTGCGTGTAGATGTGATCCGATGGAGTGCTTAGTGCATGCAAGAATTGATGTGAGTCTCAGATCTCAGTACTCAGAGACACGAGAGAGTGAGAGCCATGTGTGTTGTGTGCGTGAAATGTGAATGAGTAATAGCAATGATTGAAAGAGAGTAGCAAGGTAGCTCCGCAGAGAAGAGGAGGAGTCGGGAGAGCCCCCGACGGTCTCCCTCACTCCATCTTCTGATGGTGCGCCCTCTCCGCCATCTCCCGCAGCCGCGCGGCGGTCGTCGCTCCCGTCGAGTCGACCATCTCTGAGAGCGCCGAGCCCTCCTGGCGCAGCAAGTCGTGCGGCGCGCCCGCCTCGACACACCGCCCCGCCGATAGCACCAGGATGCGGTCGTAGTCGACGACCGTGTGGAGCCGGTGCGCGACCGTCAGCAGCGTCGTCTCGCGCATTGTCGTGCGGAGCGCCGACTGGATGCGCGCGTCAGCGGCGTGGTCGATGCTCGCAGTCGCCTCGTCGAGCAGGAGCACGCGCGGCGCGCGCAGCACCGCGCGAGCGAAGCAGAGCAGCTGCCGCTCGCCCAAGCTCCAGTTGACGCCGCCCTCCTCCGACTCGGACGAGAGCCCGTCCGCGAGGCCGCGCACCGCCGGCTCCATGCCGACGGCCCGCAGCGCGCCCCAGAGCGCCTCGTCGGTGAACTGGTCGAGCGGGTCGAGGCTCCGCCGGACGGCGCCGCGGAAGAGAACGGGCTCCTGCGTGACAATGCCGAGGGCGCGGCCGCGCACCCGCTGCAGCCCGAGCGTGCGCAGGTCAACCCCGTCGAGCGAGATGCGGCCCGCCTCCACCTCCACCAGCCGGAAGAGCGCGGCGGCGACCGACGACTTGCCGGCGCCGGTCCGGCCGCAGATGCCCACCCGCTCCGCCGCGGCGATGGTACAGCTGAAGCCGTCCAGCGCCGGCGGGAGCGAGGGTCGGTAGCGCAGCGTCACCGCCTCGAAGCGGAGCTCGCCGCGCACGGGCCACCCCTCCCGCTCGGCCTGCGCGTCCGCCTCCGGCTGCTCGCGCGGCGCCTCGGGCGGCAGGGCGGTGTAGCCGAGCACGCGCTCGAGGCTGACGCCCTTCGCCTCGAGCTCTGAGGTGGAGAGGACGAGAAAGTTGAGAGTGATTGTCAGGTTGAAGGACCAGATCACCGCGAGGCCCGCGATCGGGCCGGACAGCTGCTCCGACAGGGCGGAGAGCGCGACGCACACCGAGACGGAGATCAGAGCGCCGATCGTCTCGAGACGCACGGCGAGCCAGCGCCCGACGCCGACGAAGGCGAGGAAGGCGGTGGACGCGTCGTCGTTGAGCAGCGCCAGCCGGGAGGAGAAGCGGTGCGTCTCTCCGAAGGCTCGGATCGTCGCGCCGCCCGCGACGGACTCCTCGATGAGAGAGACTAGCGGCGCCTGCGCTCGCGCGTAGAGGCGCTGCATCTGCACGCCCGAGCGCAGGTAGAGCATGTGGACGGCCGCGAAGACTGCCGCGCAGACGACAACCGCGACTGCGACGACGGGGACGATGGCGAGCACGACCGTGAGCCCGGAGAAGAGCCAGAAGGAGGAGGCAATCACGGTCAGGCCCTTCTGCACGAGCAGGCCGGTCGGAGTGTAATCCTCCGGGGATGGTCCGGTAACCGGACAGGCCCTGGCGCCGCGATGCGGCCGACCGGCGTTGTGTCGAAGAAGGACATTGGCGAGCGCGCCACGGCGCCGAGGAGGCGGCGGAAGATGGAGCGAGCGGCCACCGCGCCGCCACTCACGAACCACCAAGTTCGTAGAAACGCAAAGCTGGCATTGCCGAAGATGAAGCCCGAGTACACTGCGAGTCGAGCGCGTTGGTCCGCCTCGCTGTCCACCACTCCGCTGAAGCCAAAGAGCGCGCCAAAGCCGCTCGCGACGGTGCTGCTCTCGCCTGCAGCCTCGGGCGCCGCCTCGGTCCAAGCGGAGAGCCAGAAGTCAGCACCAACGTAAGTGAAGCGCTCGCAGACAAAGAAGAGGAGCTCGGGCAAGAACCATCTCCACCCGCCCGCCGCACGTGCCCACGCCAGCATCGTCCGCACGCCGAGTCGCACCTCGTCGCTCCCCTCGGGCGCAAAGTCGCCCGTCGCGCTCCCCGGGACCACAGACTTCTCCGCCCCCGCCGCCTCTGCCGCCTCCAGCTCCACCGCCTCTTCCTCTGCCGGCTCGGCCGCGTCGCCCGCCTCGTTAGGCTGGTAGTCGCCGCCGCTGCCGCCCACCGAGTCGAGAAATTCGCCGAGCGCCGCCCGCTCCTCTGGCGACAAAGCGGCGCCCTCCCGCGCAAGCTGCAGCTGCGCCAGCGACCCACGCGCGACAGGGCGGCCCGCGTGCAGCACGAGGCACGAGGCGGCCTTGGGCGCGAACTGGGTCGCGTGGCCGACGAGCAGGACAGCGGCGGAGCCGAGCAGCGGCGACGCGCCCTCGAAGAGCGCCTCGAAGATGTGCCGGCCGGTCGAGCCGTCCAGCGCGGAGAAGACGTCGTCGAGAAGCAGCAGCGACGGGCGAGAGTAGACGGCACGCGCGAGCGCGACGCGCTGCTGCTGCCCGCCGGAGAGGGTCACGCCGCGCTCGCCGACGACGGTCGCGTCGCCGTGCGGCAGCGCCGCCAGGTCGGCACGCAAGGCGCAAGCGTTCACGACGGCAGTGTAGCGCGCCTCGTCGAAAGAGGAGCCAAAGAGGATGTTGTCTCGCACCGACATGTGCTGCACCCACGCTGTCTGCGCGCAGTAGGCGACTGCCTCGCCCGGCGAGGTGCGCACGCCGCCCGCCTCGAGGACCGCCTCGCCCAGCACGCCCGCAAGGAAGGTGGACTTGCCACACCCGACGGCTCCGGCGACAAGAAGCAGCTCCCCGCGCTCAACGCGCAGAGAGAGCCGATCGATTGCGAGCGGCGCAGCCGGAGCCTTGGCGGCGGGCGGCACGGCGCGGCGCGGCGGCGGCGCGGAGAGCCGGCCCGACCTCGAACGGCTCACTCTGCCCGCCGCCGGCCCTTGCGGCGGCTCCGACTTGCGCCAAGAGAAAGACGCCTCCTCGAGCTCGAGAGGAGCCGCCGTCCCGACCGCATTGCCGCCGCCGCCGCCGCCTCCGCCGCCGCCGCCGCCGCCGCCGCCGCCGCCGCCGCCGCCGCCGCCGCCGCCGCCGCCGCCGCCACCGCCACCGCTGCTGCCGCCTTCGTCGGCACCGCGCAAACGCGGATTCGCGGCGGCGGCCTCGGCGCGGGCGAGGAATCGGCCGATGCGCCTCAGCGCGACCGCGCCCTGCGTGAGCTGTCCGACGAGCTCGCCGAAGAACATGATCGGGAAGCGGACGACCGAGAAGAGCGAGAGGACGGGGAAGGCTAGGTCGGCGGTGAGCGGCGAGGAGGGCGAGGTGAGCACCGCGGCGGCGAGGGCGAGGGCTGTCGCGAGCTGCGGCAGCGCGATCGTCATCGTCATCAGGCGCGCGAAGAGGCCGAGCTCAGTCCGGATGTAGGGGAGCTCTCTCTCGCGCCGCGCCAGCAGGTCGGCCTCAAAGGCGGCGTCCCAGCCGTGGAACTTGAGCGCGCGCACGCCCTTGACGAGCTCGAGGCAGCGCGCCACCCGCGCGTCCGAGTGCGGCAGGTGCGCCGCACGCGCCGCCTTGAGGCGCCGCACAAGCAGCAGGTTGAGCGGGATCATCGTCAGGAGCAGGCCGATGCCCGCGAGCGCAGCCACGCCGGCCAGGTCGACGAGCAGCAGCGCCGCGACGAGGATCATCAGCGGGCAGGCCCAGAGCAAGTGGATCAGCGGTAGCGCGTCGAGCAGCTTCTGCGCATCGTTGGAGAGGAGGTTGGCCGTGCTCGGCGGCGCGGAGGCGGCGCGGAGCGAGAGCGCGGTCCGGTAGACGAGGGCGACGGAGAGGGAGCGAAGCTCCGCGCCGAGGCAAAAGGTTGCGAAGAGCTGCTGCTCCTTGGCGAGCGAGCCGACGACGCCGTTCAGGCCGACGAGGACGGCCAGCCACATGCCCTCTCCCTGCTCGTGCGCTGCGACGGCGCGCACAATCCGCTGGAGCAGCAGTGGCTGCGCCAGCTGCGAGGCGACAAAGATGGCGTACATCACGCCGCTACCGACGAGACGCCACCGCACGAGCAGCCACAGACGACGGCGGTAGGAGAGCGACGCGTCCTGTTCGTCGTACCAAGCGAGCAGCGCTTCCGTGCTGCGAGTGGCCCAGCCGGCGCACGCGCTCGCGTCGTCCTGCGAGAGCGGGACGCGCCAGCCGCGGCGCACGGCAGGCGTGACCCAGAGGAAGAGGAGCCTGCTGCACAGCGCGGCGGCGGCGGATGCGGCTTTGTGGAGCGGCGAGCGGTGGCGGACGCGGACCGGCGAACGCGTGCACATGTGCGTGCGTCTGGTGCGAAAGCGTCGTGAGGCCTTCCTATTTTTGTGCTACTGGACACACGGCGGAGGACCAGTGTCCATACCGCGTTGGTGTCCAGTCCGAGCCTGGCTGTTCTTCACCTTTCTACCTACCTACCTGTTCGAAACGAGAGTTGGTCCGAGCAAGCAACGACATGACCTGGCGGCAAATGATCGGACTGGGAGTCAGAAGAGTGGTCCTTGCGCGAGGAGAGCTCGATAAACTCGAGGGGCCAAAATATGCTGAAAGGGGAGAGCGGAGTTACGCCGAGAGGCGAGAGAAGCTGCGAGAGCAAGGGATCGGCGGCGGCGTCGTTGCAGCCTTGCAGGATGAGGCCGAGGAGAGCGACGAGTCCGAGGACGAAGCGGCAGGAGAGAACGACGAGAGTGAGAAGACCTCTTGCACCGAGAATCGTAGACGTACGTCCCGAACTATACGTCGCTAAAAGTACGTCATGTGACGTGTGTATGTACATGGCGGCTGCGGGCGGACCCTCACAGATCACAGATCACATGGCGGCAGCCGAACCACTCCGCCTCACCGTCGCACGCTGCGCGCTCGATTCTGCCGTCATATGCACTACCGTCGCCACGGATGAGCTCCAGCTCGCGGTCGACCTCGGCCGCACCGCGCGTGCGGCAGGCTTTGGTTGCATTGCGGTGCTCCCCTTTGACGCTGTCGCCGCCGACGGTCTGGACGCGAGCGACCGTGGCCTGCTGGCGCTGCTGCCGCCACCCACTCCGCCGCTGCTACCACGTCCGCAGTTCTGCGGCAAGCAGTACCTCTCTCGCCGGCGGCAGTTCCACCGGATGCGGCTGTGGAGGATGCTGCTCGAGGCGGGCTTCCACGTGCTCGGTGTCGATCCGATGCTGCGGCTCGACCGCAACCCGCTGCCCGCGCTGGGTGTGCTGCGCGTGCGGGCGGACGGGCTGCAGGTGGCGGGCGAGGCGTATCTCGGTGCGGGCTCATCGCCCGACGTGGTGGGAGGGACGCCCGGCTTCTCGCTCAAGCAAATCTACACCTACTGCGTCTGGCTGCGCTCGACGCCCGCGACGAGGCTGCTGCTGGCGCAGGCCGAGGCTCGCACCTTTGGAGGGCAGGACGCGCAGGTGCTTAGCGAGGAGCTAAACTGGGGCGCCGGAGCCAACGCCAGCTGCTGCCACTCCAACTGCCTCGCCAAGCAGTTCTCTGTCGCCAAGCCGCCGCCCGCGCCCGCCCGCCCATGCGCCTCGCAGGCCGAGTTGCCTCTCGCGCCTCCGCCTCCCAACCGCACGCGCAACACGTGGCCGCCTCCCGGCACGGCCAAGGCATGGAAGCCGGCCGCGTACAACGCGCTCCCGATGGCGGCGCACCACTTTGGGCGCTGCACCGGCCGGGACGTGGCGTGCTCAGGCCTGCACGAGACCTGCCCTCCGCCACCGCCGCCCTACACGCGGCAAGCCGCACTGGCGGAGAGCAGGAGGAAGCGGGGCGGTGCAAAAAAGAAGAAGGTGGGTCAAACGTGAGGAAACCAAAACGCGGAAATGCAGCCCCTTGGAGTGAAGGCTTCGTAGCCCTCCCCGGTCCGCAGGAGTGAGGAGAAAGGAGAGGACTTGACGTAGGGGGTGGACAGCGTCCTAATCTAAAATCTGAGGATCAAGGATTCAGACCTTTGAATCCGGGGCACCCTCCGCTCGAATCCCTGGCCAGGGGTTCGAGGTGGCCCCCACCCTGGGGCCTCCCATCAAAAGGGCCGACTGCTGCAGAAGACGCCCAATCTTGCACAAGTGCAAGAACCATACGGTTTGCGATGAGAAGCGATCCGAACGTGGCATTCGGGTGATTAGATCACTACCGCCGTAACGCAAGAGCACTGCGACGGATCGGGCTCATGCTAGCATCCACCTCGCGGGCCCGGATGTTCTGGCCCAGCGAGGCTGCTGCGGAGCACTCGCGGGCCGACTTTCTGGCCCAGAGAGAGAGGCCGCTGCGCTCGAGCCGCTGCGGGACCGACACCGGCGGCTCGGTTCGCTCCTCAACGCAAACTCGGTCGAGCAAGAGGTCAGCTGAGCCCTGGCCTCGACACCTCGACACCAAACCTCGACACCGACTCGACACCTCGACAACCCATGCCAACTCGACAAACTCGACACCCCTCGACACCCCTCGACACCCCTCGACACCATCTAGGCTGAAACCATGCTCGTCCGTGTCAAGGTGCCAAACTCGACACCTCGACACCCCTCGATAGGGTGCCCACAGGACCCAAAAGAAAATAGCTTTCCGGCTCAAAAAGGGACGCACGCGGCAAATCTGATGTTGGCCAGTTCCAATAGGAGCGAGGCCTCTTCCGTTGGGGGACCGAGTACATAGGAAACGAGGGTTTCCCATTGTGACCCGCTCCAGTGCGAGCGTGACACTGCACTTGGCGCCGAGCGCCCGCGGCACAGACCTTGTGCAGGCCACCCCTCGGTGGTCACGCCGGTCCGGACCGATGGCGCTCGGTGTGGAGCAAGCAAGACCCCCCCCCCCCCCATCGGCGCGCGCTCGCCATTCCAACGGCCGCCAGGAGCACCAAGAGGACTCCTCATGGCTGTGACCAAGTGGGATTCGACCGGCCTCGGCTGGGGGGGCGGGTTGTCCCGGCTGCGGACGCCTTCTGCAGCCCCCTGGGCGTGGGTCAGCACCCAAAAACTGCCCCTCGGCGGCATACAGCACTGCCAGCCAGCCTCTTCCTCAAGGGCTGTACTATAGGCCATATTGCGCCGCCTCCTACTGGCAGCCGGGCGGGCGCGCGCCGCGGGCGCCTCGGCGCGCGCACGGCTCGCAAAGTTCGAACGAGTACTGCCGCCCGGCCGCCTCAAGGCTGCCGGACGGCAGTACTCGCCTCGCAAGGCGCGCACCGGCTGCTCTGGCTGCTGCGCCGGCGGCCGCTGCGCTGGCCGCTGCTGCGCCGGCTGGCGGGCGGTACGGCCGCCGGCGGCCGCTGCACCCGCGCCTTCCCTCGCGGGCGCCGTCGCGCCGCGCGCGCTCAACTCTGGTGGCACACGGCACGCGTCGTCACTCAGCCGCGGAGAACAGGCGGTGCAGCGCGCGAAGCGCGCGCGATCTCGTACTTTTAAGGCTGGATCCGGCCATTCCAAGGGTATACCTTTGAGAATCCCCAGCGTCCCTCCCTCCTAGTCACACTCTCAATATCTCGACTGGCCAACACGAAGTGCTGCGATCTGGGGTGGCCCATTTCTTTTTTCTTTTCTTTTTGGGGCCCTGTGGGCACCCTACCCTCGACACCCCTCGACACCCCTCGACACCCCTCGACACCGCTCGACACCGCTCGACACCGCTCGACACCGCTCGACACCTCTGATGATCCTAACACAGCAGAGACGTAGACCCATTGGAGTCACAGAGTTAGAAATCAGGGTTGCAGCAGCAATCAAACTTGGCTGGCAGTACTTTCATCCCTGAGTTGCAGCCTCTCAAGTTCTAGCTCAAGTTGCAGCTCAGTTGCACCCCTGTTGATGCAGCAAACATGGCAGTACTCAGGTAGCCCTAAGGTGCTGCACAGCACCTTGTACAGTGGCAATGAATCCTCACACCAGTGAGCTTGTGCCATGAGTGCAGACCTGTGGTCCATTGCGCTTTGTGCACTGGCGACGCTGCAACGGCGACGCTGCAGCGGCGGCGACGCTGCTGCGATGGGGTACTGTAGCCCTTAGCTGCTGGACAGCACCTTGTGCAGTGGCAATGTCCACTGACTCATGGCACCAGCCTTGTGCCATGAGCGCTGTGGTCAGTTGCGCTTTGTGCGCCGGTGACGCTGCAGCAGCGACGCTGCTGCAGCAGCGACGCTGCTGCGGTGCTGCGCCTGCACAGCACCTTGGTGCACAGTGGCAATGACTCCCGGCACTTGATGTCCTCAAATGTCCACAGAGAGTATACTGGTTGTGCTCAGGTTGTGCTACATCAACAGGGTGCAACTGAGGCTGCAACTAAGGGATGAAACAGCTTTGCAACTGCTGCCCAACTTTTGTTGTATGTTGATGGGCTGCAACTGCATCCACCTGCCACCTTGGACACCTCGATACCTCGGACGCCTCTTGACAACACTCGACACCCGCTCGACACCCGCTCGACACCCGCTCGACACCCGCTCGACACCCTCGACACCCTCGACACCCTCGACACCCCTCGACACCCCTCGACACTCCTCGACACGGACAAGCATGGTTTCAGCCTCGACAGGCCTCGACAGGCCTCGACAGGCCTCGACAGGCCTCGACAGGCCTCGACAGGCCTCGACACCTCTATCCCTCGACAGCAGCTCGACACCCTCAACACCGGGCCTCGACACCTCGACACCAGGGCTCAGGAGGTCAGATGTGTGTGTGTAAAAAGGCGGCGCGGCACGGCAAGGATTTTGGGGCGCTGTCTACCCCCTAACTGGAGCGTGGTCCGTGGAGCGAAAAAAAGCAAGCGAGTGGCGGAAATCGAAATGAAAAAAAGCTAAAAGGTGGGTAAAAACGTGTACGTGAGAAAACGAAATGAAAACGACAGTGGAGGTACAAATCTCAAATGCACCCCATCCCCGAGATGCGTGCGAGGAGAGACGTTAGCCGCTACACGTGTTTGAACTCGAATTACATGCGAGATTTTGAGAGAAATCCCAAAATGGTGTCGTATATGCGCGCCGCAGCGCGGGGCCTGCCGTCGGAGAGTCAGATGTCGGGCGGCGGGAGGCCCTCCACGCGGCAGCGCTTTGCCGCCGCGAAAGGCGACGGGACGGCACCGCCCTCTGCCCCGCCGCCCCCATCCTCGTCGCCATCCTCCGCGCTGAGCGACCAGAGCGCGGCGTTGCGGCCGCGCAGCAGCGACAGCTCGGGCGCCATCTGCGGCGGCTGCTGCTCCGACGGCTCGCCCCCGCCTGGCAGCGAGGGCGCGAGGCTGTCTGTGACGCCGCCGGTCGAGGCGAGGGCGTCCTGCTCGAGCAAGCTGTTGGCGGCCGTGGCCGCAGCCGCCCCGCTCCCGGCAGCTTCCTCCACACTCGAGTGGCAGCTCTGCGGGAGTGGGAGGGAGAGCTTCGCCAGCGCGGGAGCCGGAGGGCGCAAAGGTGGCGCGTAGGCGGCAGGGTCCGCCGCCATCGAGCACGGCGGCTCACAGGCAGCAGCGCCCACCACCTGCTGCTGCAGCGGCGCACAGGCAGCGGGGCCGGGCACGCTCATCCGAGGCGGCGGCGGTCCCGCGCCAACCGGCCCCGGAAGCGGTCGGCGGAGCGGGTCGGAGGGGAACAGCCTCAGCCATGGATCCTCGACGAATGACGGGCGGTAGAACGCCTGCCCAGACGCGCTCGGCCCGCCACCGCCACGCCCGCCGCGTCCTCGTCCTTTGCCGCCCTTGCCGCCCTTACCGCCGCCCTTGCCGCCGCCCTTGCCGCCGCCCTTGCCGAAAGGCGGGGGCTGGAAGGGCACTGGCGGCGCCCACCAGCCGGGCGGCTGAGGGAAGGGCGGTGCTGGGGCTCGCTGCATGTGCGGTACCGCGTATTGGGGACGGATAAAGAATTTTACCACGGAACGAGAAAAAAAACTCTTTGTACAAGTGTCCGAAGAGTGAGTGGACCTGAGCAACGATATGACTTGGCGGCAAATGATCGCAGTGGGCGGGCAGAAGAGTCGTCCTTGCGCGAGGAGAAGGGATCGGCAGGCGGCGGCGGCGTCGCAGGACGAGGCAGACGAGAGCGACGCGACAGAGGAGGAAGCGACAGGAGGGAGAACGACGAGAGTGGGAAGACCGCGAGGTGGCATGAAGGTTGCAGCGAGAATCGGCGAGGGACTGCGAAGGGAGATAGAAAGAGGCAGACGACCAAGGGTTAGGGTGGGCGACGGCTAGCACCACACTCCTCTCCTTAAAATCCCTGTGTGGTGGCGGCGTGCCGTCCTCCCATCCCTCCCTTGGGTTGTCTGTTTTCTTTCTTTCTTTCTTTACCGTGACACTGCCGTGGCACCGTGACACGCTGTGACACCGCCGTGACACCTCGGTGACACCCCGTTCCCCGTCGTGACACGCGGTGACATGTTGACATATGTCGGCGCGTGGAGCCGCGGCTGGAACAGCCGCAGGGTCAAGGGGCCGCCCCCGAGGCTCCACACCAGGTGTTGCGGCCGCCAGTACCGCCATTAGGTTGACACGGTCCAAAGCGTGCGCCATGCGCTCGCCGACATCGATCCCTGCCCGCACACGCGTGCCCTGCCCTACCGGTACCTTCCCAGGCCCGTCATCGCATTCGCCTTCCTGGGACCCAGCGCTGACTTCTGACTGTCGTTGCTGTCTCTCCCTTCTCGACTGTCTGTGCTTGTGCGTCTTGGGTCCGGGGTTGTGTTTTTGTGTGAAGTCTCCCCCCATCCCCAGGGCCTCCAGGGCTCGCACCTCAACCTCTCACAGACCAGCGCACAGCTCGAGGCGACGTATTTTCTTCTCAATAACAAGGCTGTGAACGCTGCCATCCTCGCGGGCACGGACGCTGCGGGCGCGGGCGCGGGGGTGGTGGAGGCGCTCAATTGCTGGGAGGAGGGTGCGTACAAAGCGGAGACGATGGAGGCGCTCGCCGAGTTCGGCGATTGAGCGCCTCCCTCTCTCTCCGGCTGCGCGCATGACCGGTGCGGCCTCCGAGTCGGCATAAAAAGCGCGCGCGATAAGGTTTTTGCTTGCCTTCCCTGGGACCCCGTGTTGCATGTCTGACTGTCACTGGTGCGATTTCGGGGCCCGGGGTTGTGCGTTTATGTGAACACCACTTGGGTCCGTGGTTGTGTTTTTGTGTGAACACCACCCAGCCGTCGGTGAGCACCGGACGCGAGGGTCGGTCGGTCGGCTCCTAACTCGCTGCATATAGTAGCGATGAGCTCACTAGCTATAGAGCTCACACTAGAGGCCGTCATCGCATTCGCCCTGGGACCCAGCGCTGACTTCTGACTATCGTTGCGGTCTATCCCTTTCTCGACTGTCTGTGCTTGTGCGTCTTGGGTCCGGGCGGGGTTGTGTTTTTCTGTGAATGAACCTCCAGGGCTCGCACCTCAACCTCTCACAGACCAGCGCACAGCGCCATAGGAGGTATTTCTTCTCAATAACAAGGCTGTGTGCGCCATACGACGTATTTTCTTCTCGTGGAAGGGAGTTTTCTTGTAAAATTCTTCTCAATAACAAGGCTGTGAACACCACGCCGGCTGGGTGTGGATGTGTGTGCTCCGCCTCCTGCTCGTCAGCCTGCTTGCCCCCACCTCCTTCGGCTTTGCGGCGGGCGGCATCTCGTCGCTCGAGTCTCAGGTGGCTCGACTCGCCTCCTCTGCGACGACGTCACGCAGCGAGCTCGAGGACAGGCTCGCAGAGCTGGTGAGCGAGAGCGGCGGCGGCATCCCTGACCCAGCGCTCTCGCCGATGATTGAGGGCGACTGGGAGCTGCTGTACACGACCAAGTCCAGCTTCGATTGGCGCAATCCGCTCGGCCGGCGGGCAGACGGGACAACGCCTGGCGTGGAGGGTTGGTTTGCTGCCCTGAGTGGCGGAGGAGAATCGGCTGCGGCTGCCTCGTCCAGCCCCATCCAGCGCGCGGTGACGTCGGCCTTTTCGGTCACGCAGAGCATCCGTGGGCTCCAAGGCGGCGCCGCCAGAGGGCGGGTGGAGCAGCTCGTCCGCACACCGCTCGGAGAGCTGCGCCTCAACGCAGCCGCAACGGCCCGCCCGGCAGCTCCGAGGCGCGTGTCGTTCGCTTTCGACGAAGGCTACTTTCAGACGGAGCAGGGGCTGCGGCTGCCGTACCCGGTGCCCTTCAAGCTGCTCGGCAAGGAGGCGGAGGGATGGCTAGACACCGAGTTCCTCGGCGATGAGCTCCGCATCAGCACGGGCAATAAAGGGACGACATTCGTCTTGAGGCGCGGCGATTAAAGCATGGGCGTGTGTGCCTCTGTGGACTGTCTCGCAGCGACGGACAAACAAACAACATTAAATAGGAACTGCCCCTTTTATTCGTCTTGCACTATACAACACAGAGACATTCTTTCATGTTCACGCAAAAATAACGACGAAGCTCGACGAGAAGGCGCGTGTACGGCTACGGCTTCAGCCTTCACTCCTTCTCGGCTTCTTTACACGAATAACACCACGATAAGTAAATAAAAACGGACACTTCTACTGTGAGATGGGTAAAAAGGAACAGGTCCCCGATAACACCACACGCTCCGTGATAAAACATGAAAAATTAGCGAGAGAGCTCCTGTGAGCTCGAGAGAGAGACAGAATAGTCAGAGACTCTGTGTGAAATTCAGAGAGCTTATTATTCTAAAATCAGTGAAAAATACGTCACGTGTTGCATGGAACGCGATCCCTGGTGCTGCACGTGATCCGATGTATCGGGAGTAGTTTTCACTGCGCAGTGTCGGCGCTCTACATCAGTACAACTTGTACACTCACCACGCGACGGGAAGGAGCTTACTCATTGCATCTCAGATCTCTGTGCACGCGGCTCACGCCCCGGCTCCTCATCGCCGCGCTGCCACGCCCGACACCGCCGTCGCCGCATTCGCCGCATTCGCCCCCGCCGCCGCCGCCGCCGCCGCCGCCGCCGCCGCTGCCGCCTCCTCCTCGACCGCAACCATCTTGAGGTCCGCCTCCCAAGGCTGCTCGTCTCTGTCCAAGCCTTCAAGTGGCCCCAAACCACGCCCTGCGAAATCACGAGCCTTGCTTGTCATATCGTTCGCTCCCCACGCTCCCGCACCTCCCGCTCCCCAGTTGCCCATCGCCTCCAACGAGCCGGACGAGCCCGACGAGGAGGCGGAATAGCGCGCCGATATCAGAGACAAGCTGCCCCTGCTGCCACCCAACCCCAAGCTCTGTGCCGGCGGCGCCGCCCAAATCGATGACCCTAACGCGCCGCACGACAAGGGCCACACGGACTCCCACCCGCCCTCCTGCTTGGAAACCCGCTCGTCGGAGCCCGTCGAGCACCAGCCGTGGCTGTTGGCAGCGCCCATGACGATGCTGTCGGTGTGAGACGCCCACGGCGACCAGTTCTGCCCTCCACCCGCTTCCGTGTTGAGCCCCTGCTCTGCAATGGCTCGCTTCGCCTCATCGACCTCGACGGCGGCTGCCTCAGCAACTTTCCCCTTGGCCGCCTTCGACTCCATCTCCCGCCGCTTGTTCGCCTCGGCCGCCTCGCGCCGCGCCTCCGCCTCCGCCCGTCGCCTCGCGTCCTCCTTCCGCTGCGCCCGCCTCTTTTCGCGCAGCGTCTGGCCGCCCTCGGGCGTTATGGCGCCGTTTGTGCTCTCGCCATCCGACGCTCTCTTGGCAGCTGGCTCGGTCGGGGAGGGCCCACTAACAGAGCCTGTCTGACGGCTCTGGCGCGTCGGCTTGGTGGTGGACCGCGCCGCTAGCCTCTGCTGCCTGCTTCGCCCGCTGAGGCGGCCACTGCTTACACCGATCAGCGACGACCTCGCAGCTTGGTCCAGCTGCGTCAGGTGCCAGGTGAGGAAGGCGACGAGAAGGACCGCGACCCCGCACGCGAGCAAGAGGAGGTGGCCGGCACTCCAAGCGGGCGCGCCCAGTTGCACAGGCGGGCTCTGGTGGGCGTGTGGCGGCGCGCTCCGTGGCGCAATGGAGACGCTGTGGGCATGCAAACAGACTGGCTGCTCCGCGCGAATCAGGCCATCGTCACAGAAGCCACGCCCGCAGAATGTGAATTGCAAGTCATCGCAAGTGTCACATCCCGTCCCCTGAAACTTGAGGGCGCGGCGGAGAAGCCATGCGCAGCGTGAGAAGTTGCCCCAAGCGTAGGACCTCTTCGCCATGTTGTTGGCGACCCTAAGTGCGTTACAGGCGCCGATTGCGTGAGCTCCGACGCCGCTGACCTCAGCATGGATGAGCAGCGTCTCGACGATGGCATCATTGCCGACGTAGCACGCCTCGACGAGGGCAGTCATCCCCTCGGCCGGCGGCAGCAAAAGGCCGTTCCGATCCTTGGAGGTCACTTCGTAGTAGAATTTCTTCGCCTCCGAGGGTGCGCCCAAAAGTGGAGGCGAAGAGGGGTACCGCTCAATGATCCATCCAGGTGGGCCGTGGGCGAGTAGGAGAAGCACCACCTCGCTGAACTCTATGTAGTGACTTGACTGGCAAACATGGGCCGCTGGACAAACCGCTGATCTACCGCCTACCTCCACGCCGCCACCAGCCGCCAGAAGCATCGCCTTGCTACGTCCCAGCCAGGGCTTAGCGCCATGGCGTAGCAGAAGGCGCACAAAGCATGCGTCGCCACGCGCACTCGCCTCCGCGATGGCAGAGTTTGCAACCGGCCCGAGGGCGTTTGGGTCAGCACCGTGCTGCAGCAGCAGCCGAGCCAGAGATGAGGCAGTCGACCGTGGTAGTCCTTGCCCCTCGTACCAGTCGATCGAATTGGCCACAAATATTAAAATGGGGCTGACGCCCTCGTGCGTCTTGACGGAGAGCCCCGCCGCCGGTTCAGGAGTGCCGGCAGTGGCATTGAGCCAGCCATGAAGCTGCTCGACGTTGCCATGGGTCACCGCCTCCCTCGCTGGATGCGAGCTATCCATCAACACGGGGCGCGTCATCGTACTGAGCGTCACTCCGTCGGGCCAGGCCGCCCGCGGGACGTCAGCTTTGGGCGTTTCCAATCGATTTACCGAGTAGGTAATGTGGGACGGCGCATCGGCGATCAGCCGACTACAGCCGTGTGTCATCATGGCCGGCCAAACGCAGATTGAGATCTTACACACCTCACCGCTCGACAGTCGGTCGGTCGGGCAGCAAGAACGTTCCAAAATCTTGTTAGTACTTACTACACCGACCCCCCTTTCTGCTTTCAGCCTCCAAGTGCTCCAGCTTTCTCTACATACATCATACATAGATTATAGTCGCATCCTCACCGCTCCTTTTCTTCTTTTTATCGACATTTTCCCCCTTTGTGTTGTAATAATTATGTATATGAACAGGAGATGACAGATGTCACTTATTCTACTTTACTTACGATGTGGGTTGTGCTTGTGGGAGCTGCAGCTGGGAGAAATCTCTCTGGGCTAGTGCCATTTCACTCTGACACGCTAATCTTGAAAACGTCTCCAGCGGAGCTCCGTGTTGCTTCCAGCGCCCTCCCCCGCGCTCCCTGCGGCCATGGCCGATGATTCTAGTATGGGAGGCCATCTGGCTACCGCGAGAGCGACCCAACTCGTCGACATCGTCCGATGATGGTGCCACAAAGTCAGCCTTCGGAGGCTATCGTGGGGTCGAGCCGGCAGTAGCCGTGACATGTGGTTCCACCACCCCTCGTACGCTTTGCCTCTGACCGCCACCGTTCCCAGGCTGCCTAATGGGATGGAAAGGAAGGCTCGGCGAGCGTATAGAAGCGTGCTCGACCTCGTCGTGGCAACCTGTACGGCAGCGCTGGTAGGCGCGATGAGCGTCGTGCCACCTGACCCGATACGGGTCGCAGGCGTCGTACCGAGCGCGTCGAGACCGTGTCATGATGTGATCTGCACGGGTGAGTCACGTCGGCGTCAAAGGAGCGACGTGCGACCTGTCAGAGCTTGATCTCCGATCTCAGCGACGTCGAGTCGTCTCCGGCGCGCAACAAATGTACCTCCCCAGGACGCGCAGAGGCAGCTG